ATGTACACTTGAATGTTAATATCAATAAATGATAATGAAAGCGTTAGATAGCATTGACATCGTCGGTAATCATTCCTTAACATTTCTGATTTTAAGATAATAAATATTATCACATAATTTAATAGATGAAACGAGGAGAGTTTAAATTAATATTTAGGATATACAATATTTTATTAGTACTCCACGTACGCAGGGTATCCCAATATTAATGGCACAATCAGGAAGGAAACTATTCTGTATAAAAAAATAGGGGAAACATATAGAATTGTGGGAATCTCATAAAGGTTAACACAATAATCGAGACTAATTGTAAATTGCGTTCCACACGAGTTTATTAAATGCGTACGAGCAGGAAAAATGATGTAACGTATTCGAACGACTCTGACGGACTGTTCCGTCGCTGGTCAAAACCTCTCCTCGAAAAGTCATCAGTAAAAGAAGAAAGAAACAGTTTAGAAAGAGAGAAAATATAAAAAGTGGGAAAATCCAGAAAAACCGTTGAAGAGTTTGGAAAAAGAGAGGTACAGCGGAAGAGAATCATAAAACAGAAAGTGAAGAGGTTCGCAAGAGCCTGAGCGTTGACACTGACCAGGCCCCGGCGAGACCCGCTCATATCTTTTCAATATTCATTTTCGGACATAAGTACACACGGATTTTCTTCATTTACTTGACCACAGTAATACGCAGTATAAGTTTACTTTCAAAATAGTTAAAAAAAGATTTGCAAAGCATTTGGCAAAGTGTTTGGAGAAATCTTAAAACAAAATTAGAATGGACAAGGTATGTAATAAAACAAGGGAATAAATTTGGCAAGATTTTAATGTTGTAAATTTCATAGAAAAACGCCGAACTAGACTTCGTTAAAAAGTTATCACAATTTAATATGAATGAAAACTGCTTTATTCATATCAAATGAATGAAGGTTTTTTGCATTCTTACCTTGGTTTCTTCAGCAATACATTTCATACATGTCATCATGTATTAATATTATCATTACATAGTATTCTAAAATAATATTATAATATTGTGTTATCATATCTAAAAATAATCTTTAAATTATAGAAAAAGTGCGAAATATATCTCACGCGCTTTATATTTACTAATTGTTATAAATAAATTCGGTATATATTATTTTTGCGAGCGATCACGGGCGTTTTCTATTACGGTACGCGACATAATGCACCGAGGCGCGCGTCTCCGCGTCTTTTTTTGTTTTGCGTATGGAACATTCTGGATTTTCTAGTTTTCTATTATTTTTTAGGGAGGGCTCTAGAACATTCCCGCTTTTCGGTTGCGCCACGCTTCTAGAATCTTCTCGATCATTTTCGACATCGAGGATTTTCGATCGTTCGTTAGCACTTTTCCTTTTTGAATTTTTCACAGAGAAATCGAAGAATGTGAAATAGAAAAGAAAAAACGGTCAAGAAAACACACACATTTTTTACAATCGTTCAAAGGGGCTGCCAGAAAAACAAGAAAACGATGTAAACAATGTTACAAACAATTATCGAAGGTACAAGGTAGATTATACGCCGCGAAAAAAAGTAAAAAAGTAAGAACATATTGTAAAAGTTGTAAGGGCCAGCCCGCATCATGTTTAGAATGTTTTAAAAAGTTGCATGCTTATAAATAAATAATTGTTATCAATTTAAAATATTGAATGTTAATGCTTATAATACTCAATTTTCGTTTATAATGTTTCCAAAAAATAAAATAAACTTATTTTTTGAAAACCCACCTATGATGCACGTCGCCCCACGGGACAATTAAGTGTGACCCACCGGTGGGTCACCACTTAAGGAACTACGCTGATTGATTTCCGATCAAATCTTAGACTTTCGAATTAGCGCCTACCTTCACTTTTTACCACTTTTTCATTGTGCGTTTAATACAATTTTTTTGAAAAAGGGAAGATGGTGCGTGTACAAAGAGGAAATTGTAAATTCAGCAACGCTGCGGTTTTTCTTCCGGATATGAAAGTTCGGTGGCTGAAAAGTTCCGCTATGTTGTATTTTTGAAATTATCTTTCCGAAATATCGTGTTATGATTGGAATTGCCTATTGAGCACGATGCCAAAACTAAAGTTCTTGATGTTTTCTTTGAAAAAAGGTAAATGAATATTATTGTCAGTATGGCGAAAATAGGCTTTTGTTATGGCCTTATTACAAATGTCCCAAGCAAGATCCTCACGTGCCTTGTTCTTTCAACGGAACACCAAGTAAACGGAATATATGTTATAAGCAAAGTGATTAACCCTACAACTACGAGCATTACGTCCACACTTGAAAAACCTGAAACTAATCATTTTAACTGGTTTATAATTCTAGTGTTACATAATAGAGTATTGTTGATAATGCTTGGCCATCACTAAACGATCGAGCTTTTTAACACAGGTGTAGCATTTTCATTCTACTGATAATAAAGCTACTGTTCATTTTAATTTTGATAAAATCTCAGCTGCAAATGCTTAGTTGATTACTATCAATCAGGTACGAAATTTCTCCGATATTGTTCTGTTTTGTAATCCAGAGATAACCTGGAAATGTATGTACTGTTTCACTTCGGAAGCAGTACAGTGTTTATCCATAATATACTACTTGATTCTCTTGAAGTGTTCATGTACAGAAAATCGTTGCGAAGATAATACAGTAATTATTGCCACTTGTTCATACTTTTTATAAATTTTTATGATCTTTTAATGATTCGTTATACTGTACAGCTTTAATCGATACTCATGCTTCATTTGTGATACACAACGCGATAAAATGATATGATAAGTTAGTTTATTACGGCGATAGTAGTAATTAATCGTAAAATCTTTTATAAGAAGTTTCTTTATCGTAGGACATGATAAAATCTCTAAACTACAACTGACCATGTACTAGTTTAACTATTGTTAGTCGGTCGTGTTTAACCATTGTATTCATCATACTTTATCGTAGCCTATGAAACGGTGAAACTAAGAATGAAACTATTTGAACTTGTTGATAAATTTTTTGTAATATTTATTTATTATTGATTAATGTTTCAGATTGCACAGTTGTAGCATAATGGCATAATTGGAAACTTAAAATGTTATTGGCCATTAGTACCTCTGTTAATCGTCCATATGAGGATTTATATGTGAACAATGCTGTGTCTGTGAGTAATGTGATAATTATTGATTTATTTATTAAATTGATCAAATAAACAATGCTATATTCCTAATAGGCAAGTTTGATTTATAAGAAAAGAACAGCAGTTTTTTTCATAAAAAAATTATGCAATTTTTATGAACAATTATAAGGTATTTTAAAAAACAATGCTACAAGTGAGTGTAAATCCAGCTAGGGAACTGGAATCAACTTCTTCAAAAAAGGCTTTGGTTTTGTATAATTAACGTAAAACACCGATCAATTATAGCGCCAATGTAATTGTGTAATACGATGCCGTTAAGTTAAAGTTAAATCAAATAGCCAATACATAATTATGAATAATGTCTGATTATTCATTATTCGAATAATCAGTAATGGAGTATCGAAGCTTTTATTAGGTTCGGATTTTTAATTAAAATTAATTCGCTTACGAAAGAATGTCTGAAGCCCCTTAAATCCTCTACGCTCTAATGCACTGGAATAAGAAGGTCGATACCGCCAAACGTCTTTTTTATGATCTGGGTGATTCTACGCCAAATCCATTACATTTATTCGTCATCATCGGCGATTTTATTTTAATCAAAACATTTTGTAGTCTATGGGAAATTGGGGCGGGGGGTCAAGTTATCATTTTTCCGGTTTCAACTTTTTTACAAAATGGCGGGCCTTCAAAGTTTGCAATTTTTACCCATTATGGGGAAAACAGGCTTTACGTACAAATTTTCATCTCAAAAATTACTATTAGATTTAGCTTTTCTTTGTTTTATTCATAGAGAATTGGACTATTATACAATTATTTTTTTGACTTTGGCGATTAGTTGTATAATATTGAAAACTTTAAACAAATACATTTTTGCGTTTTTTTTAAATTAAAAAATATAGTCATATATCCCAAAGTTTCCCTTTTAAAATGAGTCCCTTAGAAAGATGGAAGCTCGAAAATTGACATTATAGTAAGTTGGAAAACGACGCGGTGTACCTTTGTTTTAGGTAGGGGAGTCATGCGCTTCGCGGTTATGATTGCATACACTGATCTCGCTGCGAGAAGTCTTCTTATACGAGTAGGTGACCCTGTTATACCTTGAAAAATACAGGGTGGGCCACATAACCTGTTACAAGCTATTCTCTTGGAAAGCATTGAAGATATTGACTTGATATTTTTTTTAATTAAATGGGGGCGTGAGAACTAACTCCTTCATTTTTACAGAAATGTTTTGTGGTCTTTAGTGGGGCAACAGGGGCGGCGCGGCGCCGTCTTATCTTTTTTAATGGAATGGGATACAATTTCTTTTTTATACGCATAATTTTCATCAAAAGGAACAACATTTACTTGAAGTATTATTGTATATTTTGCACTGTTAAAAAAGTACTGAAAAAGTCAGCGGATACATTTAAAACGATTTCGCGTTAGTTATTTACATGAAGCATGATCTCGTTGATCTCGAAAACTGTTAAATGTTGTCAAGATGGTCAACACATTTACTTATATACTATTTATAGTATCTTGTATAAAGTTTAATAATAACATTTCACATTTTAAAATATATCCGAATTATTGTTTATATGTATACTATTGCATGTAAATTAGTATTAAAACTATGTAAGTAGATAATGGCTACAACTTTACTGAATTTGCATTGTAAATGATAGCGCTGGAATAGAAATTAATTTAATACGAACTAACATCAAATAATTCATACTTATATCTTAAGCAATACTATATAGAACTATAAACTAAATAATAAATGTATAAGAACTTCACCTAATATAAACTAATAGGGAAATACATATTTTCGATTTTGTTAAAATTATTACGTAAATAAAAATGTTGAAATTGCATCGGAATCATGTTCGTATGTATAAAATATATACATTAATTTAATTTTGAAAATTTTTTATGACACATTTTTAAGATTAAATTCTCAATTTTTATTAAGTCCTGACATCTGTACTGTTATTTCCGCTATTCACTCTAATATCAATGTCTGGGTAATCATTTATAGTTCTATTTGGGTAAATAATAATTTTATCTGGTAAAACTTCTACCAATGTAGAACTGTTATTTTCTACATCAGTGTGCAATACGGTTTGACCAGTATGAATATTTATTGTTATCGATCCTGGAAGACATTCCATCGGTTGCGGATCCCATTGGCCATTTTTATTACACGTAGTAATTTCCGATGTAAATTGCAACGTCGTATCTCGACGATGGCCAAGGCGACATTTTAATCTTGCTTCTGTACCAGGCAAAACCGAAGATTGGCACGGCACAAGGGTACCTTGGAATTGACACGTAGCACTTCTTAAATTTGATTCCAATGGTTCACAGCGTATTTCTGTAAAATACATAATTGTTTAACAAATTTTTAAAAATTTACACCTGTATTTTATATTGTAATGATTTCGTACCTGTGCAAACTGGAATATTTAACAATTGACCGTCTCGACTACAAAATACTTGATTATGACCTTTAAGTTCATAACCAGGATAACAATTATAAACTAAATATTCTCCTGGTTTTAATTTAGTACCAATGGGAACGTCACAATAATTACAAGATTGAGAATTTGTTGTAGAACTGCAGCAGTTTGGTTTGTATAACTTCGTATAACCATTTGTTGGCGGTGGTGGTACAATGCAGGTTGTAGAAGTCGAAGTAGGTGATATAGTAGTAGATGGAGGTGCTTGTGCAAAAGCAAAGGACGTATCAGCTGCAACTCCTGTATTATTTTTGCAAAGGATTGGATTTTCATCGGAACCATCCACGCAATTTGTAACTCCATTACATTTCAAATCGGCAGAAATACAAGCACCGTAGTTACAACGGAAAAAAATATCTACGCAGCTGTAAAAAGATAATACATGTTAATTTAAAATATAGATTCGATATTTACATTTGTGAATGTTTTTAAATTCATATAAATAAAAGAGATCAGAATACTTTAACCTTACTTAATTCTTGCACATTGGCGAAGTGTTTCATCTGAACCATCTATACAATCAGCAGTACCATCGCACAAATCATATCCTGCAATACATTGTCCGTTGTCACATTTAAATTGATTTCCTAAACATGGGGGAGCTGAATTCTGTCTGGTACATTTCGGTAGTGTTTCATCACTACCATCAATACAATCATTTATTCCATTACAGATTGCATCTCCATTTACACATGCACCATAAGAGCATCGGAACATATAATCAGGGCACACCCTTTTAGTACATTCTGCATAAGTTTCATCGGATGCGTCTTCACAATCTGCCCGTCCATTACATGTTAGACGACGTTCTATGCACCGACCATTTTTACACTGAAATTTCTGTGAACTATTAAAAAGAAAGAATATAGAACGTATTATTTTCAATTAATACAAAATTGGGTTTTAATTTTTTTTATCAAATAAACTATTTTAGAGAGATTAAGTAAACTCACCCTAATTTGTCTCTCTGTGATTCACATCCCATAAAACCTATGAAACAGAAAAAGACACATATGTATTTATTAAAACGTTAAATTCATTATATGGTAAAATGTTGTTTCTTTAGGTAATTTTTTATATAAAGCGAAGTAAATGTTATTTTAAAATGTATATCATTTTCTACTTTATTCTACAACTTTTTCAACTTAAGAATGTTATAGATTGATGGATACTAACTCCGATTCCGCGTGTCATCACCAAGGATTGATATACTTAGAACAAAAATTGATATATATTTAAAAATATTAATTAATATTGGG